ACCAGCCCACTTCAAACTCTGCTACTCTCACCCCCCCAGCCACGCCACAAATCATTCCTCCTCCTCATCATCAAATTTAGAGCCTTTTTCTTCTTTGGAAGTGCCCATCTCTGAGCCGATTGTCCTCGCCGACCTCTTTCCACTTTCCGATCCGGTTACTGATCAGTGGAAGGTCTTCACCTATCGAGGCTCTCTCAGCACGCCGCCCTGCTCTGAGGTGGTGCAGTACTTTGTCCTCGCCGAGGTGAACGCCATTGGCAGTGAACAGGTAGGGAAAAATACTTTGAGTTCTTTGAGTTTTTTAAGTAATTTTTTGTTTTGTTTTGATATAGTTATCAGTTTTTCGATCGCTGCGCGATCCGGCAACAGGCTTGTCGCTTGGTAACAACTACCGCCAGACGCAACCGCTCAATGGACGGCAGATTAGCTATTTCTGATGACTGAAGTTTTTTTTGGTAAAAAACACATAAAAATACCTGATAGCTTTGTGTTTCAAGTTCAAGCTATCAAAATAAACAAAAGACTAGTAGTTTTAGCTGATGCTGGTGTATCAGTCACATAAATCACACCGCCAACGCAAATGATGATTTTCATCAGTGACCATCTTTTTCTTTGCTAAAAAATGCAGTGATTATCAGCCGCACTCATCAGCTAAATTGAGTGTGAACTCTTAACCCATTTAGCTAGATTACAGTGGTAGCATCCATCACCTCTCTTAGACTTTTCCCCCCTCTTTTAAACTAGAAAGATTCTGTGTCGGTGATTATTTAGTTGTTTACTTTTTGATGATCTTGTAGTGATAGCGATGATGATCACCACCGTGCCAAAAAGAGCATCACTTCTCTTTTTTCTCTTTGCTCTACATTTGCCGTCGATGACTTTCCCTTAGCTAAAACTTTTATGCTATCACCTCTGCTGCATCTTTTGCTGCTGCTGCTGCTCAGCAATCAAATCACCGTCATCTTTTGCTTACTTTCGCTTTACCATCATCATCACTTTCTGTCTGATATTGCTAATTGCCGCTGTCTGATTTCCAATGTCAAAGAGGGGGAAATCTTTCTATCACCACCACCACCACCACCACCTTCACCTGATACTGATACCGATCCAGATTTGCATTTTCTAATGAGAAGTGGGGGACGTTAAACTTGAAAAGCAAAATCAAAATCAAGAGCAGTTTTTCTCTTTTTTTCTTTTTTGTGTGCTGACGATTGAGAAAAGCCATCGGTCCAAGTGCAATGACCGAAACAGCAGCAACAGCGTGGGCAATTTTTAGCGTGTTGATATGATCTGTTTCAGCTGCTGCTCATCTCATCTTTTTATTTGCTAAGCATCTGCCGTTGCACGTGTTCATTACGAAACACAAATTAAGGTGCACATCTTGTTTGAGTGAAAGTAAGAAAGTGAGCAAACTTTTGCTCCGATATTGATCAGTTTCTCAGTAAGAAAAAAGTTGAGAAAAGCAAAGATCAAAGAGGCAAGTCTAGAAAAAGATGAGAAAAAGAAAAAAAGAGAGCACTTTTATTTTGTCTTCATTTGAGTCACTCACACACTCCAAAACTGCTCTTGCAAATCAATCCGGCCAAAAACGGTATAAAACAGCGTTGATGGCGTTTAGTTGACCTCACAGCTCTCTTTCAGTTTACAGTTTCTCATCTTCATCTTCATCAAATACTTAGCAAAAAGCAGTTTTTAAAAATGAAGTTTTTCGTAAGTGATCATAGTCGCAAATCATAAACCCAAGTCAGGACGATATTTTTAACCCAAAATATCCACTTTTCAATCTTTAGATTGTCCTCGCCGCTCTCCTCTCGGTGGCCGCTGCTGGCGGTCTTTTCGGTGGCATCGGCCTCGGCCACGGTGGTGGCGGCCTCGTCCTCGGTGGCGGACCGGTCCTCCTCGCCGGACCTGCCCCACTGCCCTGCCCACCTCGATTCATCGCCTCCCCACCTCGAATTCTCATCAAACAGGTCGCTGTGCCAGGTAAAGGGAGAAAATTTTTAATTAAAAAATCCAAGACTTAATCCTTTCTTCTATACTTCTAGCTCCCTTCCCCGTGATCCGCCACGTGGTGAGGCACGTGCCCGTGGGCGTGCCGCAGCCCTACCCCGTGCAGGTGATCAAGCACGTGCCCGTGCAGGTGATTAAGCACGTGCAGGTGCCCGTCCCAGTGCCCCAGCCCGTAGCCGTCCCAGTGCCACAGGTAAGAAGATTAAAACCCCATCTTCTAAGATTGTAATCAAATTAACCACTGGTTAACTTAATCTGCCCCCTCTTTTAGCCCGTTGCCGTCCCCGTGCCACAGGTAATAAAATATTTTTTTATTTTTGAGTTTCAAAACTGACCGAATTCCTTTCTTTGTTTATTAGCCCGTTGCAGTTGCTGCCCCAGCTCCAGTGGCCATCTGCGGCCCCGGCGGTCTCGGCTGCGGCGGCGGTGGTCTGATCGGCGGTGGCGCCCTCATCGGCGGTGGCGGTGGCGCCCTGGTTGGCGGCGCCGGCCCAATCCTTTCCGATGGCGGCTATGGCGGCGGTTTGGGTGGCGGTTATGGCGGCGGATACAAGAAGAAATAAACTTCTTGTAAATCCTTTGTAGTTCTTTCCTAATACAATCGACCTCACCACACTCGCACTCAAGATTCTAAGTCTCCCACAACAACATCCCACAACAACAACAACGACAACGACGAGAGAAAGTGAACTTATTTATTTATTTATTCCATTTCCAAAGCTCCATCACCCTCTTCCACTAGCTCAAATCATCAGCTTTATTATTTTTTGCTTAACTGCTTTTTGCTTGTTTATTTGATTGAAACAATCAGCCAGTGGTATTCAATAAAAAAACTGAAAGAAAACTCTTTTTAACTTTGCTAAAGTGTGTCTCTAAGTTGTTTTTTAATTGATGGCAATGCACAATAGGAGTGATTAGAGTAGATTACATCATTTTTTCTGTTGTACGGTTTTTGCAAACAAACACATTCATTTTTATTTCATTTTTTACTTTTTATTTTATAGTAGTTAAAGTGCCATCATTGATAGTCATCATCATCGTTCAGCCTCTTCATAACTCAAGATTGTGCTGTAAAAATGAAAGTGTATCTTTATGAGAAAATCAGACAACAACCGCAAAAAATGAAATCGTAATCTTGTAAAGCACTTCTTTCTGTTGCTCTCATTTGTAATGCAAACGACACATTACAGCTGCAGACTGTTTGATTTTAAATCTGTCACAATTTCTGCATCAACTGGCACTTTTTTATTTTGAAAGGAAAAAATCTGTAACAAAAAAACGTTTATCTTTGTAGCTCAAGGGCAGTCAATAACTGAAAATGTTAAAAAAAATTTTAATAAAAAGTTAAACAAACTTTTGTGCAATTTAACACAACAACAACAACAAATATTACAAGCCTAAATTTTTCCCAAACCGACCTCGTACTCAAAGTAAAATTGCATTTAAAATTGCATTTTGTAAAACAAGCACTAAAAATTGAAGTAAAATAGTACATTTTTAGTTAGAAAAAAATACCACAATTTAGAGTAAAAATATCACTGTCTGGTGCAAAAACAAAAAAACTTAATTGCATAAAAACCGGACCACTAATGAGTGCTTTCTGTGCCAGTGCACCTCTACAAAACGAATAATTAGACAGACAAAAAAAATTTTTCAAAGTTCAAAACTTTAAACATTTTCTACGCATTTACAAAACTGTCAAACGGATCGTTAACAGCAGTTTCTAACAAAAGTTTTATACTTTTGTCCTTGTACAGTTGACCTGACCATGTTGAAACCACGTTCACTTTGTCACCCTCTCTTCAACAACCTTCGCCAAACGGTGACCGCAATTCACCAAGGAAGACAATCTCGTCTTCAGCTGACGCTAGTTAGCCTCGCCTACTTCACCTTCATCACCCGCTACCTGGTGATCAGCCTCTGTCTGCACTACGACGACCTGGCCGCCTACTTCACCTCGGTGGACGTCATCGCCGGCCAGCTGATGTACCGCTCGGCGGTGCACCGTCGCTCCAACTACTACCTCCTGCACACGCTCGAGGCGGCCTTTGCCGCCCGTCTTATTGCGCTAAACCTACTTCCAAACGGAAAAGATGGTCAAACTGTTTGGTCACACCTCTACGATCTGCTGGTGCGCAATGGTGGGCGAAAACGAAGGCCAAAAGAAAAGGCAACAACAAATTCGACCTTCACTTCACCTTCACCTTCACCTTCACCTTCCCCGCTTCATCACTACCCTCAGTTGAGCGCTTCAACTCGCAGGAGGTGCCGTCTAATAACCACCCTTTTTGAAACCCTTTTCTCTGTAACCTTTGCCCTTTATCTGCTCCTCCTCAGCCACACCCTCCTTCTGACGGCCATCAGGGCGGGGCTGAACACCCTCCTCCAGCTTCTCTTTCTCCTCACAGCAGTCGCCCCGGTGAACATCACCTGCGCCCTCTTTGGCCTGCTGCACATCCTCCTTACCGCCACCGCCCTCCTCCTGGTGGCTACCGCCCACTCTGCGGAGTACCGAGCCGTTAATGGAGCGTTAGCGAAAGGGATAACTAAAACACTGAAAAGTTTTAATAGTAGAAATTATAAAAATAATCATAATCGCCTTGAAACGACGCTGAACCTCGTGCGGGCCACCGGAAGGTTCCGCTCCCGCCGCGCCCACCTGACCACTTTCTTGCTGCGCTACAACAGCGCCATCGTCTCTCGGGTGATCACCGCCTACCTGCATCTAGTCCTTCCGGTGCACGCCTACCGAGAGGTCTTCTTCTACTTCCAGCAGCAGAGCTACGTTCCCGCCTCTTATCGGCTGAACAAAACACTCTACCAGGCGATCAGTTGGGCGTTTCTGGGCACGCTGACGGCGTTCCTAGCTCAGCTTAACTCAAAAATAGGCCACGCCGGTCAAAGTGGCCTTCTGGCGGCGGTTTTTGCCCGTAAGGGGAAGCTCGATTTTGAAGCTGAACAAGAAGGAGAATTTCATAAAGAAAGTTTGAGCTTTCCAGAGACAGTAATTGATGTCCAAAGGAGAAGAAAAAGAGGAGGAAAAATGAGGAACAACGGCTGGACCAGCAAATGTGATGCCGCAATTTGGAGGCGTGAGTCGCTCAAGTTGGCCACACTCTATGAGGCGCTCTGGCGCCGAGAAAAAGAGCTCGCTTTTACAGCTGGTCAGGCTAATGCCGCCATGAGCTGGCGGTTTATACTTGAGGTAAAATACTTTTATTTTTTATATTTATTAAATTAGGAAAGAGATTTGTGAACCAGACGACTAAACGGCATGTCACTGACTGACAATTGACCTTTTCTTTTACCACCTTTTTTGATCAGTTAGCAGTGAGCTACTCCTCGTTTGTGCTCTTCTTTGGCGGCAAGTTCATCAGCAAGCATTAGGTCTTTAAAATGGATGACGACAATATCAACATTGGAGTATTTGTGTTTTCTTTATTGTATTTAGTGAAAAAACGTTTTTGCAATAAAAAAAATTTGCTGTTTACAGCTGATTGACTCGCTCAAAGAAGCACTCTGAGAAGAAGATGCCGCCCTTGGTTCGGGAGTCTACTTGATACCTTTTTCGATGGCCAAAGTACTCAGTGCACTGCTCTGCTGCAGAGTACACGCTGATTTTTGTAAATTCAGGGTCATAAAATCCATTCAATAATTTCCAAATAACCGGCACTGAAGACTGCTTCACGCGAACATTTAGAGATGTGAGACGCGGAAAAATGCTGGCCACCGCCTGCCAGCACTTGCCCTCGGTGCTGCTTTCAATGTACAGTGAGGAATTTTTAGATGAGGATTCTGTCGATTCTGAAGCGAATTCTGAGGATTCTGATGTTCTAGGCCAAGAAGTCACCTGAGAGAGGTACAGGGTTTTGAGTTTGACCATTTGGGGGAGGAGATAGTGGGCGGCCTTTTGGGTGAAGCAGTCCGCCAGATTGACGCCCACGTGAGAGAGGCGCAGTTCGGTGAGGTGCTCCAAACAGTTGAGCTGGTTTAATGAGGTGGAGTTTAGTTTTACCTAAAAAATTGCAAAAAAAATTTATGTTATTTTAAAGTTGTACAAAAGAAACCTTTTTTTCTTTTACCATCTCAAAGTTGACAAAAGAGCAGCACTGAAGGTCAAGTGATTGCAGGTGTTTGCAGGCGCCTGAAAGCAGTCGGATAATCTCGTTTACATCTTTCAAATCAGGAAGTGATAAACGAAAATGGCGGAGGTTTACCAGCAGTTCAGGACACTCTTCAACTAGGTCTTCAACCAGTTCAACTGGGTCGTAATCTCGAGGAAGGTCAAGTCTGAGGGAGTGGCAGCGGGTGGGCGTCAGCTGAAGAAGTACATCGACTAGATCACCTTTGTAATTGCAGAGGGCAAAATGCTCTAGCCGAGCTAGTGTTACCGGAAGTTCAATCAAGACTGAAGTTGCAGGAATATCTGCTGTTGTTTCTGTTGAATTTGTACTTTTTTTACTGTCCAGCAGAAAGAGGTCAATGACGAGCAGGTCGAGGCGAACTAAAAGTGAGAGTTTTTCAATTGTTTGGCAAAGTGAGGCTGTAAAGTTGCTGTGTGGATAGTCAATCGCTCCGGAAATGGTTAGGGTCGTTAACTGGTGGTGAATGGATTGCAGAAAAATTGGTAGTCCGGTAAAGGGGGCGTCCCAGCAGAGGTGAACGGATAGTGTGGTGACGTTTGAACTAAACAGGCGTCCCAGAAAGTCGTACATCTCCAGGTCATCGCAGTAGATGTACGAGTCGATGATCAGGTCGTCATCAAAATTGCCAATTTCTGTTGATAATTTGTACAGCTGATCTCCAAAAGTGTTGTCCACCAGCGTCGTCAAGCAGTGGTCGGTGATGTTCTTCAGACGGCCGAAGAGTCTCAGAGAGTGTCGTTTCCGGCAAAGAATCGTCTCAACTGTGTTTTTCCAATGTTGACAAATGGCTCGAAGACATGTAATTTGCTCTTGTAAGGTGAATTTGCTGAAGATCAACAGCAGACAGTCTACTGGAAGGTGGTTGATGTTCAGCATTTTTTTAGTAGAGTTTTAAAATTCAGTTTTTTGCTTAGAATCAAAAGAAATGGTTGGGCGCTGTTTTGTTTTGTTGAATGTTTTTGTTGCTGTTGCTGCTGCTGCTAACGATGATGCCAATGACTGAGCAGTTTTGCTGTTCAGTGTGACTGGCTTTTCCTTCTTCTGTGACAGCCAAAGCAGAGAGAATCAAAGATTTTGCCAAACGGGAGTGTTTATAAATAGAATATTCTGTCACAAGTTCAAAAACACCAACTAACTGGAGAATGTTATATAGCAGCAAATTCTGCTTATTTTGCCGTTTTGTTTGAAATTGTTGCAGCAACAATCTAACAGCAACAAAACTGACTATTTTGCTAACTTTGAGTTCAAAGGTTTTTGCCCCTTTGAAAAAGGGAGAGACAAGTTTAAAAACAGTCAATTTTGTATGAGCTCATTCAACGAGTGCACTTTTGCTGCTGCCTGCCAAGTAAAAATCGCCAGCCAAAGTTAAAAGCTCATCCCAATTGACAAAATGCAAATGATAGCCATTACATAATAAA